AGCTTGGCACCATGTTAGCCCCAGAGCCAAGCTTGGCACCATGTTAGCCCCAGAGCCAAGCTTGGCACCATGTTAGCCCCAGAGCCAAGCTTGGCACCATGTTAGCCCCAGAGCCAAGCTTGGCACCATGTTAGCCCCAGAGCCAAGCTTGGCACCATGTTAGCCCCAGAGCCAAGCTTGGCAGCCATGTTAGCCCCAGAGCCAAGCTTGGCACCATGTTAGCCCCAGAGCCAAGCTTGGCACCATGTTAGCCCCAGAGCCAAGCTTGGCACCATGTTAGCCCCAGAGCCAAGCTTGGCACCATGTTAGCCCCAGAGCCAAGCTTGGCACCATGTTAGCCCCAGAGCCAAGCTTGGCACCATGTTAGCCCCAGAGCCAAGCTTGGCACCATGTTAGCCCCAGAGCCAAGCTTGGCACCATGTTAGCCCCAGAGCCAAGCTTGGCACCATGTTAGCCCCAGAGCCAAGCTTGGCACCATGTTAGCCCCAGAGCCAAGCTTGGCACCATGTTAGCCCCAGAGCCAAGCTTGGCACCATGTTAGCCCCAGAGCCAAGCTTGGCACCATGTTAGCCCCAGAGCCAAGCTTGGCACCATGTTAGCCCCAGAGCCAAGCTTGGCACCATGTTAGCCCCAGAGCCAAGCTTGGCACCATGTTAGCCCCAGAGCCAAGCTTGGCACCATGTTAGCCCCAGAGCCAAGCTTGGCACCATGTTAGCCCCAGAGCCAAGCTTGGCACCATGTTAGCCCCAGAGCCAAGCTTGGCACCATGTTAGCCCCAGAGCCAAGCTTGGCACCATGTTAGCCCCAGAGCCAAGCTTGGCACCATGTTAGCCCCAGAGCCAAGCTTGGCACCATGTTAGCCCCAGAGCCAAGCTTGGCACCATGTTAGCCCCAGAGCCAAGCTTGGCACCATGTTAGCCCCAGAGCCAAGCTTGGCACCATGTTAGCCCCAGAGCCAAGCTTGGCACCATGTTAGCCCCAGAGCCAAGCTTAGTTAGCCCCAGAGCCAAGCTTGGCACCATGTTAGCCCCAGAGCCAAGCTTGGCACCATGTTAGCCCCAGAGCCAAGCTTGGCACCATGTTAGCCCCAGAGCCAAGCTTGGCACCATGTTAGCCCCAGAGCCAAGCTTGGCACCATGTTAGCCCCAGAGCCAAGCTTGGCACCATGTTAGCACCCCCAGAGCCAAGCTTGGCACCATGTTAGCCCCAGAGCCAAGCTTGGCACCATGTTAGCCCCAGAGCCAAGCTTGGCACCATGTTAGCCCCAGAGCCAAGCTTGGCACCATGTTAGCCCCAGAGCCAAGCTTGGCACCATGTTAGCCCCAGAGCCAAGCTTGGCACCATGTTAGCCCCAGAGCCAAGCTTGGCACCATGTTAGCCCCAGAGCCAAGCTTGGCACCATGTTAGCCCCAGAGCCAAGCTTGGCACCATGTTAGCCCCAGAGCCAAGCTTGGCACCATGTTAGCCCCAGAGCCAAGCTTGGCCCATGTTAGCCCCAGAGCCAAGCTTGGCAGCTTGGCACCATGTTAGCCCCAGAGCCAAGCATGTTAGCCCCAGGCACCATGTTAGCCCCAGAGCCAAGCTTGGCACCATGTTAGCCCCAGAGCCAAGCTTGGCACCATGTTAGCCCCAGAGCCAAGCTTGGCACCATGTTAGCCCCAGAGCCAAGCTTGGCACCATGTTAGCCCCAGAGCCAAGCTAGGCAGCTTGGCCATGTTAGCCCCAGAGCCAAGCTTGGCACCATGTTAGCCACCATGTTAGCCCCAGAGCCAAGCTTGGCATGTTAGCCCCAGAGCCAAGCTTGGCACCATGTTAGCCCCAGAGCCAAGCTTGGCACCATGTTAGCCCCAGAGCCAAGCTTGGCAGTATGTTAGCCCCAGAGCCAAGCTTGGCAGTATGTTAGCCCCAGAGCCAAGCTTGGCACCATGTTAGCCCCAGAGCCAAGCTTGGCACCATGTTAGCCCCAGAGCCAAGCTGGGCACCATGTTAGCCCCAGAGCCAAGCTGGGCACCATGTTAGCCCCAGAGCCAAGCTTGGCACCATGTTAGCCCCAGAGCCAAGCTTGGCAGTATGTTAGCCCCAGAGCCAAGCTTGGCAGTATGTTAGCTCCAGAGCCAAGCTTGGCAGCATGTTAGCCCCAGAGCCAAGCTTGGCACCATGTTAGCCCCAGAGCCAAGCTTGGCACCATGTTAGCCCCAGAGCCAAGCTTGGCACCATGTTAGCCCCAGAGCCAAGCTTGGCACCATGTTAGCCCCAGAGCCAAGCTTGGCACCATGTTAGCCCCAGAGCCAAGCTTGGCAGCATGTTAGCCCCAGAGCCAAGCTTGGCACCATGTTAGCCCCAGAGCCAAGCTTGGCAGTATGTTAGCCCCAGAGCCAAGCTTGGCACCATGTTAGCCCCAGAGCCAAGCTTGGCACCATGTTAGCCCCAGAGCCAAGCTTGGCACCATGTTAGCCCCAGAGCCAAGCTTGGCACCATGTTAGCCCCAGAGCCAAGCTTGGCACCATGTTAGTTACTATACATGTCTGTAGTTGATTTACTAAACATGTCTATTAGAGTAGCGCTAATCTCTTCCTCACATTATTTTAGGCCTAGCAAATAACGCATCAATGACACTTTTTTTTATTTAATTTGGATATCTGTTTACAAACCATGGCTTACAGGGCAGGAAAGTCGCTTAACTATGTTCTGTTGTCTTGAGGTTATCTTGAGATGATTTCGGGGCTTTAGTGTCCCCGCGGCCCGGTCCTCGACCAGTCTCACCGTATAATAGGCCATACTATCTACTAATAACTATTTCATATCAGTGAAGAGAGATATGTGAAGTAGTTATCAGGACGCCAGTGATCACACCCTGGTGGGTGGCGCCTCTCCAGTCCTGGTGCTCCTCCACCAGTCCTGGTGCTCCTCCACCAGTCCTGGTGCTCCTCCACCAGTCCTGGTGCTCCTCCACCAGTCCTGGTGCTCCTCCACCAGTCCTGGTGCTCCTCCACCAGTCTTGGTGCTCCTCCACCAGTCTTGGTGCTCCTCCTCCACCAGTCCTGGTGCTCCTCCACCAGTCCTGGTGCTCCTCCACCAGTCCTGGTGCTCCTCCACCAGTCCTGGTGCTCCTCCACCAGTCTTGGTGCTCCTCCACAAGTCCTGGTGCTCCTCCACCAGTCCTGGTGCTCCTCCACCAGTCTTGGTGCTCCTCCACCAGTCTTGGTGCTCCCTCCACCAGTCTTGGTGCTCCTCCACCACCAGTCCTGGTGCTCCTCCACCAGTCCTGGTGCTCCTCCACCAGTCCTGGTGCTCCTCCACCAGTCTTGGTGCTCCCTCCACCAGTGCTGGTGCTCCTCCACCAGTCTTGGTGCTCCCTCCACCAGTCCTGGTGCTCCTCCACCAGTCCTGGTGCTCCTCCACCAGTCTTGGTGCTCCCTCCACCAGTCCTGGTGCTCCTCCACCAGTCCTGGTGCTCCTCCACCAGTCTTGGTGCTCCTCCACCAGTCCTGGTGCTCCTCCACCAGTCTTGGTGCTCCCTCCACCAGTCCTGGTGCTCCTCCACCAGTCCTGGTGCTCCTCCACCAGTCCTGGTGCTCCTCCACCAGTCCTGGTGCTCCTCCACCAGTCTTGGTGCTCCCTCCACCAGTCCTGGTGCTCCTCCACCAGTCCTGGTGCTCCTCCACCAGTCCTGGTGCTCCTCCACCAGTCTTGGTGCTCCTCCACCAGTCCTGGTGCTCCTCCACCAGTCCTGGTGCTCCTCCACCAGTCCTGGTGCTCCTCCACCAGTCCTGGTGCTCCTCCACCAGTCCTGGTGCTCCTCCACCAGTCCTGGTGCTCCTCCACCAGTCCTGGTGCTCCTCCACCAGTCTTGGTGCCCCTCCACCAGTCCTGGTGCTCCTCCACCAGTCCTGGTGCTCCTCCACCAGTCTTGGTGCTCCTCCACCAGTCCTGGTGCTCCTCCACCAGTCCTGGTGCTCCTCCACCAGTCCTGGTGCTCCTCCACCAGTCCTGGTGCTCCTCCACCAGTCCTGGTGCTCCTCCACCAGTCCTGGTGCTCCTCCACCAGTCCTGGTGCTCCTCCACCAGTCTTGGTGCTCCCTCCACCAGTCCTGGTGCTCCTCCACCAGTCCTGGTGCTCCTCCACCAGTCCTGGTGCTCCTCCACCAGTCCTGGTGCTCCTCCACCAGACAAGACACACGGGGTACTCACCTGGGTGTCCCTCCACCAGACAAGACACACGGGGTACTCACCTGGGTGTCCCTCCACCAGACAAGACACACGGGGTACTCACCTGGGTGTCCCTCCACCAGACAAGACACACGGGGTACTCACCTGGGTGTCCCTCCACCAGACAAGACACACGGGGTACTCACCTGGTGCTCCTCCACCAGACAAGACACACGGGGTACTCACCTGGGTGTCCCTCCACCAGACAAGACACACGGGGTACTCACCTGGTGCTCCTCCACCAGACAAGACACACGGGGTACTCACCTGGGTGTCCCTCCACCAGACAAGACACACAGGGTACTCACCTGGTGCTCCTCCACCAGACAAGACACACGGGGTACTCACCTGGGTGTCCCTCCACCAGACAAGACACACGGGGTACTCACCTGGTGCTCCTCCACCAGACAAGACACACGGGGTACTCACCTGGTGCTCCTCCACCAGACAAGACACACGGGGTACTCACCTGGGTGTCCCTCCACCAGACAAGACACACGGGGTACTCACCTGGTGCTCCTCCACCAGACAAGACACACGGGGTACTCACCTGGTGCTCCTCCACCAGACAAGACACACGGGGTACTCACCTGGGTGTCCCTCCACCAGACAAGACACACGGGGTACTCACCTGGTGCTCCTCCACCAGACAAGACACACGGGGTACTCACCTGATGCTCCTCCACCAGACAAGACACACGGGGTACTCACCTGGTGCTCCTCCACCAGACAAGACACACGGGGTACTCACCTGATGCTCCTCCACCAGACAAGACACACGGGGTACTCACCTGGGTGTCCCAACACAGAGGGAGAAAGCTGAAGACGACGGGGGTCACCACCAGCACTATGGAGGGCCAGTAGGGAAGGAGGGAGTATCTGCCCAACATCTTCACGCTCTCACATCCACTCTTTACAATGTCCAAGAGATCACTCTTTACGATTTCCAAGAGGTCACTCTTTATGATGTCCAAGAGATCACTCTTTATGATGTCCAAGAGATCATTCTTTACGATGTCCAAGAGGTCACTCTTTACGATGTCCAAGAGATCACTCTTTACGATGTCCAAGAGGTCACTCTTTACGATGTTCAAGAGGTCACTCTTTACGATGTCCAAGAGATCACTCTTTACTGTGTCCAAGAGATCACTCTTTACGGTGTCCAAGAGATCACTCTTTACGATGTCCAAGAGGCCTTCGTTAAACTATAGTTTCATTTTCAGTCACCAAATTTAATTATCACAAAATATAAAGATACAAACTGATTAAAAAGGTACATTACAAACTTCAATTGCTGTTTAAATCGTTACATTGCGGGAGAAATGTTTATGATTACTGCGCTTCACACTGGTACTGAGGACCACTAGAGGGCCATGACTGCCGCTGCTCCTCCATACTGTCCTCCGGCATGGGTTCGTTATCACACTAGGACGACGACCACAGTGCTCACACGGGTCCAGGCTGTGTAGTGTGGTCCCATCAAGGGTCCAGGCTGTGTAGTGTGGTCCCATCAAGGGTCCAGGCTGTGTAGTGTGGTCCCATCAAGGGTCCAGGCTGTGTAGTGTGGTCCCATCAAGGGTCCAGGCTGTGTAGTGTGGTCCCATCAAGGGTCCAGGCTGTGTAGTGTGGTCCCATCAAGGGTCCAGGCTGTGTAGTGTGGTCCCATCAAGGGTCCAGGCTGTGTAGTGTGGTCCCATCAAGGGTCCAGGCTGTGTAGTGTGGTCCCATCAAGGGTCCAGGCTGTGTAGTGTGGCCCTATCAAGGGTCCAGGCTGTGTAGTGTGGCCCTATCAAGGGTCCAGGCTGTGTAGTGTGGCCCTATCAAGGGTCCAGGCTGTGTAGTGTGGCCCTATGAAGGGTCCAGGCTGTGTAGTGTGGCCCTATCAAGGGTCCAGGCTGTGTAGTGTGGCCCTATCAAGGGTCCAGGCTGTGTAGTGTGGTCCTATCAAGGGTCCAGGCTCTGTATCGTGGTCGCATCAAGGGTCCAGGCTGTGTATCGTGGTCCCATCAAGGGTCCAGGCTGTGTAGTGTGGTCCCATCAAGGGTCCAGGCTGTGTAGTGTGGCCCTATCAAGGGTCCAGGCTCTGTATCGTGGTCCCATCAAGGGTCCAGGCTGTGTATCGTGGTCCCATCAAGGGTCCAGGCTGTGTAGTGTGGTCCCATCAAGGGTCCAGGCTGTGTAGTGTGGTCCCATCAAGGGTCCAGGCTGTGTATCGTGGTCCCATCAAGGGTCCAGGCTGTGTAGTGTGGTCCTATGAAGGGTCCAGGCTGTGTAGTGTGGTCCCATCAAGGGTCCAGGCTGTGTAGTGTGGTCCCATCAAGGGTCCAGGCTGTGTAGTGTGGTCCCATCAAGGGTCCAGGCTGTGTAGTGTGGTCCCATCAAGGGTCCAGGCTGTGTAGTGTGGCCCTATCAAGGGTCCAGGCTGTGTAGTGTGGTCCCATCAAGGGTCCAGGCTGTGTAGTGTGGTCCTATCAAGGGTCCAGGCTGTGTAGTGTGGTCCCATCAAGGGTCCAGGCTGTGTAGTGTGGTCCTATCAAGGGTCCAGGCTGTGTAGTGTGGCCCTATCAAGGGTCCAGGCTGTGTAGTGTGACCCTATCAAGGGTCCAGGCTGTGTAGTGTGGTCCTATCAAGGGTCCAGGCTGTGCAGTGTGGTCCCATCAAGGGTCCAGGCTCTGTATCGTGGTCCTATCAAGGGTCCAGGCTGTATAGTGTGGCCCTATCAAGGGTCCAGTCTGTGTAGTGTGACCCTATCAAGGCTCCAGGCTGTGCAGTGTGGTCCCATCAAGGGTCCAGGCTGTGTAGTGTGGTCCCATCAAGGGTCCAGTCTGTGTAGTGTGGTCCTATCAAGGGTCCAGGCTGTGTAGTGTGGTCCCATCAAGGGTCCAGTCTGTGTAGTGTGGTCCTATCAAGGGTCCAGGCTGTGCAGTGTGGTCCCATCAAGGGTCCAGTCTGTGTAGTGTGGTCCTATCAAGGGTCCAGGCTGTGTAGTGTGGTCCCATCAAGGGTCCAGGCTGTGTAGTGTGGTCCTATCAAGGGTCCAGGCTGTGTAGTGTGGTCCCATCAAGGGTCCAGGCTGTGTAGTGTGGCCCTATCAAGGGTCCAGGCTGTGTAGTGTGGTCCTATCAAGGGTCCAGGCTGTGTAGTGTGGCCCTATCAAGGGTCCAGGCTGTGTAGTGTGGTCCCATCAAGGGTCCAGGCTGTGTAGTGTGGCCCTATCAAGGGTCCTGGCTGTGTAGTGTGGCCCTATCAAGGGTCCAGGCTGTGTAGTGTGGCCCTATCAAGGGTCCAGGCTGTGTAGTGTGGTCCCATCAAGGGTCCAGGCTGTGTAGTGTGGTCCCATCAAGGGTCCAGGCTGTGTAGTGTGGTCCCATCAAGGGTCCTGGCTGTGTAGTGTGGTCCTATCAAGGGTCCAGGCTGTGCAGTGTGGTCCCATCAAGGGTCCAGTCTGTGTAGTGTGGCCCTATCAAGGGTCCAGGCTGTGTAGTGTGGTCCTATCAAGGGTCCAGGCTGTGTAGTGTGGTCCCATCAAGGGTCCAGGCTGTGTAGTGTGGTCCCATCAAGGGTCCAGGCTGTGTAGTGTGGTCCCATCAAGGGTCCAGGATGTGTAGTGTGGTCCCATCAAGGGTCCAGGTTCTGTAGTGTGGTCCCATCAAGGTACACGGGGACACAGCTGGGCACCAGACACAGACACGGCCAAGAACCTCTTCAGTCTCTCTTCGTTGATGGTTGATGTGCATGTATGTACCGTTCATGTGTCTTGGTGTATGGTTCACGTGTCTCCTCCTGTATGGTTCACGTGTCTCCTCGTGTATGGTTCATGTGTCTCCTCCTGTATGGTTCACGTGTCTTCTCGTGTATGGTTCACGTGTCTCCTCCTGTACGGTTCACGTGTTGTGGAACAACAAAGACCGAGACCGCGTGTTAAAGATAGTGTTTGCAAACGAGAACACAAAGGAGATGTTTCTAACAAGGAAAAGCCACCTGCAACATGTGGGAGAATTCAAAAAAGTATTTCTCCAGAGGGACATGACGAGGGAGGAGAGAGCCATGGCGGCAGAAGCAAGGAAGAAGCGCAGGGCGAGTGGGAAAAACCAGGAACTCACAGCTCCCTACACATCATCCCCAGAGGTGAGGGGGGGGGGGGGGGAACCCACAACCAGCTACCCAGTAACACCAGAGGGGAGGGCAACCACACCACCTTCCTCTGCATAGAAAACCCCCCTACCCCAAACCCTCCCTGCCCCCTACTCAAATGCTCAGCCAAATCTCCCTCCCCCCACACTCCATTCCCACCCTGCTACTCCTGCCCTCCTCCTGCCATGTCCCCCCTCCCCCCCTTTTCCTTCCAGTCCTCCCTCCCCCTTCATCCCATACCCTCCCTGGCCCCCCTCCCTCCACGTGACCCCCCGCCTCTCACCCCAGTATCCTCTGAGACCCTTTTATCCACCTCACAAATCCTCACACCCATGGAACAGCTTCCTCCACCAGCAGAACACTCACCAAGGAGGCGATTTGAGAAAGGACAGAAGAAAGTGAGCCTCAGGGCAATGTATACTAACATAGATGGAAATACAAATAAAGCAAATGAGCTTGGAGAATGGGTACTAGAGGAAAACCCAGACATAATAGCACTCACAGAAACAAAGCTAACGAAAACTATAACAAATGCAGTGTTCCCACAGGAATATTATGTTATGAGGAAAGTGAGAGAATGAAGAGGCGGTGGTGGTGTACCTCTGCTGGTAAGAAAGGGCTGGGACTTTGAAAAGATGGTTATTCAGGGCTGCGAGGGTTTCAGTGACTACATAGCAGGTGCCATAACAACTGGAGGACAAAAAACTATTTTCGTAGTCATATATAATCCACCACCAAATGACAGAAGACCCAGACAGGAATATGATAGAAACAACATGGCCACCATTAACATAATAGAGAGAGCAGCTTCTGTTGCTAGCAGGAATGGATCTGAACTACTAATCATGAAAGACTTCAACCACGGGAAAATAGACTGGGAGAACAGAGATACGCATGGAGGACCAGAAACATGGAGAGCTAAGCTGCTGGACGTGGCAACAAGACACTTTCTAAGCCAGCACATCAAGGATCCAACAAGAATGAGAGGAGAAGATGAACCAGCAATGCTCGATCTGATATTTACCCTAAATGAGTGGGATATAAGGGAAGTTAAGATGGAAGCGCCCTTGGGAATGAGTGACCACAGTGTATTAAATTTGAGTACCTGGTAGAGCTAGGAATTATCTCCCCCAAAAAAGAACTAGGAAACAGAAGACTGGCATACCGAAAGGGGACCTATGAGGAGATGAGACGTTTCCTAAGGGAAATACCTTGGGACACAGACCTCAGAGATATGTCTGTACAAGATATGATGGACTCTGTCACCCAAAAGTGTCAGGAGGTAGTAAACAGGTTCATCCCGTCCCAAAGAGAAAAATCCGAGAAGCAAAAGAAGGTCCATGGTATAATAGGGCATGTATGGAGCAAAGAAACTGAACAAAAGGGCGTGGAGGAACTTCCGGAATAACAGAACACCAGAAAGCAGAGAGAGATACCAGAGAACCAGGAATGAGTATGTTAGGGTGAGTAGAGAAGCAGAGAAAAGTTATGAAAATAATATAGCAAACAAAGCCAAGACCGAACCAAAGCTACTTCATAGTCACATCAGGAGGAAAACAACAGTGAAAGAACAGGTAATGAAACTTAGAACAGGCGAGGACAAGTATACAGAGAATGACAAAGAAGTGTGTGAAGAACTCAACAAGAGGTTCCAGGAGGTCTTCACAATAGAACAAGGTGAGGACACTGCGCTAGGAGAAAGAGAAGTAAACCAGGCGGCCTTGGAAGGGTCCGAAATTACGAGTGAGGAGGTCAAGAGACACCTGCTGGATCTGGATGTTAGAAAGGTTGTTGGTCCAGACGGGATCTCACCATGGGTACTGAAAGAGTGTGCAGAGGCACTTTGCTTCCCACTCTCCATAGTGTACAGTAGGTCACTGGAGACGGGAAACCAACCAGAAATATGGAAGACGGCGAATGTGGTCCCAATATACAAAAAGGGCGACAGGCAAAAGGCACTGAACACTGGCACAGGCCAGTGTCCTTGACTTGTATACCATGCAAAGTGAAGGAGAAGATCGTGAGAAAAAACCTGGTAACACATCTGGAGAGAAGGGACTTCGTGAC